GGCATGTACGAGAAGCGCATCAGCGTGCGCCAGAGCCACGTGACCGGCTCCCGCAGCACGTGCACCGTGACGACGGCGCCCGGGCGCGCGACGCGCGGCGAGGGCCCGCGGAGGCCCATGCGCGTCTCGTGCTCCGCCTGGCGCGCGCCGCCGGACGCCTCCCGCGCGCGGGAGACGGCGCCGTCGGCCCAGTCCGAGGCGATGTGCGCGCGGCGCTCCGCGAGCGGGAAGTGCGCGTGGCCCGCGCGGTAGACGAGCGTCGCGCGGACCGGCAGCAGCGCGTCGGCACCGCACGCCGCGGCGGAGCATTTCGCGCACGACGCGGCGCCCCGGATCGCCCGCGCCTCGAGCGCGCGCCGCAGCGCCGTCGCCACGGTCGTCGAACCGCTGTGCGGCAGCGCAAGGTGGTCCACGTGGGCGACCTGGCGCGGCTGCCGCCGGACGACGTCGTCGCCGGCCGTGTCATTGCAGGCGCCGCCGCCGCCGCCAGCCGACGACATGGTCGCTCGAACCAGCAGCAGCGCCGCCGTCGCGACGAGGCCGCCACGAGTTGGTCGCATCGATCCTACGCTAGCAAGTGAGCTCGTCTCTGAGCTGGGCGCACATCGTGCCCGGCTCTCCTTCGGGGTCAACCGCCCCGCCGGGCTAAAAACTAAAAAAAGCAACTCGACTGATTTCTCGAAAAAGCAACTCAAACAATCAGGCTGCGAGCAGCCCTTTTGCAGCGTCGATGGACGAAGTTCTCGTCTTCTCCAGCCCGTAGCTCGACGCAGGCGCATAGTTGCGCAACGATCCCCGCGGCTGCGAGGACCGGAACCCTGTCGCGGACACATTCCCCGCGGGATGTCACTCCCGAGGATTGCGTCGCATCGCGCGCGGGGCGTCCCAAGGGGTCGGAAGAGGGTTTTCGGCGTCCCCCGCACCCTTTTCGACCGTGTTCGAGCGCACGGAGCATCGGGAATCGTTCGTCTATGTACCGCGGGCGTCCCATTTGATCCGCTCGGCCATCGACGTCGAAAACATCGACTGCCAACTCGCGCATAGAAACGTGGCGCGGCAGCCCGAGCGGCCCCCACGTCCAGAAACGCGGTCTGGGCCGACACCACCGCCCGAGCCCCGTCCCCAGTATGTGTCCGGTGGGATCGAGTACATCTCCAGCGGTGGAGGGCCACCCCGCGGTGCCGATCTCGGCCGTTTCGTCGTCCCCATGGAGGCCCGGAACGCCGACTTCACGGCGTCGGCCGCTGCAGTAGGAAATGTGCTGAATCCGCCTCAGTGGCCCGAAGAACCCGTCCCATGCAATCACCTACTGCAGAGAGACACCTTCACCACTGCGGACTCGGCCACGCTCGGAGCGCGTCCATCGCGTGTAATTGCTTCAATAATCGCAACGATGCAGCTCCTGAGGTGTGCTT